GGGCCCCTAGGCTACCACCGTACCGAATTTCGAGGTCCTGTGACCTTTTGACCCCTGTATACCCAACATCCCACTTGCAACTTATTCAATGTGAACTTCACAGGTGGTTCGCGGTCAAGGGTTTTTTTTCCGGCCGATCGGGCAGGTTTGGACATGGAACTCCGAACGCTGTCCCGAGGGACCGTGACGTGACGTATATGTCAATTTTGGGGCGATCAGCCACCGTCACATTTTTAGGAACAACGTAGAAACTCGAAATTTTGGATCTCACATCGGGGCCCCCCCGGCTACCCTCGAATCGAATCTCGAGGTCCTGTGACCTTTTGAAGCTGAGTTACACATACGTCCCACTTTGACAAAAAACAGGCGCTCCACGGGCATGAGGAAGACTACGGTGAAGTTTAGGTGGTTAGGGGTCAAAATAGGCGCTCCGCGGTCATTTAGGTGGTTAGTGGGCAAAATAGGCACTCCGCGGTCCTTCAGGTGGTTAGTGGTCAAAATAGGCACTCCGCGGTCATTTAGGTGGTTAGCGGTCAAAATAGGCACTCCGTGGTCATTTAGGTGGTTAGTGGTCAAAATAGGCATTCCGCGGGCATGAGGAAGATTATGGTGAAGTTTAGGTGGTTAGGGGCCAAAATAGGCGCTCCGTGGCACTGAGGAAGACTATCATGAAGTTTAGGTGGTTAGGGGTCAAAATAGGCACTCCGTGGCACTGAGGAAGACTATGAAGAAGTTTAGGTGGTTAGGGGCCAAAATAGGCACTCCGTGGACAATCAAATGATTTGCTCTATTTTGATCACTACTGTAGTTATCAGTTTTTATATCCAAACTAAACTTTTATCCCATTACTTCTGTGATAATTTGAATAATTCTAACACAGAAAAAAAAAAAAGGATAAGTGTTGTTGAAAAACTTTGTGTCACTGTTTCCTACCTACACATGACAATTGCCTTCTCTGTCTGGATCAGGAGGTGCATTGACATGAAGCATTCTGTTCTGAAAAAGCTCCGTGTAAAAAAATCAATCGAAATAAAAATGCTCAAACCTATTACAATTTCAATTGCTTTATAAAGGTGGGATAAAAATTTTTGCACAAGTGTAATGAAATAGAAATGACGTATGATGCACAAAATGAGCTGATGTCGTTTTAATATTATATTCAATAATATAATAAATGACTGCCGTGTCAATCTAAAATTATCT